AGATGCTGACTGTTACGAAAGTGCTGAGGGTTGTCCCCTAAGGATCTGTCTCTTTTAGCATCAGGCAGTTTAAATCACCAGTGACGTCTGGAGTGCAGTTTTAGCACCAGCATCAAGGTTTGAAACTGTCGCCTCTGGCAAAGAAAGACTGCTAGCACTTGACCTAATGGAATAACCTGGTTAGCTACTCCCTGTCAGAACCTGCTATTTCTTCCAGAGAACAACAATAAATCATGTGCCTCAGTTTCACTTTTCATAATACACAGACAATTACACAACAAAGCAGCAACAACCAGTGCAAAAAGAACCCCAAATGTCTCTGATGCTTAGATCATGATGTCCATAACAACATTAAAAGGAGACTTCGGTATTTCTGTTCAATAATGACCAGGTGTGGTTGCTTGGAACCTGTTATTTCCCATGTGTTTGCTGGGCTCAAGGACTAGGAGGGTGTTTATTTAACCTGTCCCTGAGTTACAGTTATGAGGGGGGGACTTGTCATTTCCCCAGGCATTGCACAAGTATGTTTAGGTGAAAAAAGAGTTGAACCCATCATTTCTTTTAAGAACAACTTGGGCTCAATCTCCTTCTGGTGCCATAAAGCTGAGCAGGATCCATGCCTGGTACCAGTAGGCAGAGCTCTGTTGACTGGAACAATCTTGATTCACCCCCACTAAAAAACCCATCATTTAACCGCGCTGTTGCTATATTCAGAATCCATTTGGACACTTTTGGCTTTTACACTTTCTAAAATAAGGCAATAAAGCAATTAGAAATAGATAACAGAACAAGAGAGCACTTCACCAAAGAAATCAAAAGAAAATAGCGTGGCATAATTAATGCAGAGCTGGCAGCAGTGAAAATGAGCTGTAACAACCGTACTGTCACCAGGAGTACGAGTGCTGACTGAACTGCAGGTGTCTGGTGCTCTATTGACAGAGAGGGTCCTTTTGCCACCCAGCACAGCCTAATCCAAGAACGCACATATCCGGGACAGAAGGAAATAAAAGCATCCTTTAGAGCGGGCAGGACATCAAAGCTCCTGCCAGTGTTTCACTGTGTGTCAGCCAGAGGATTTATCTGACTGAAAACATGCTTTCTCACATCAAAAGAGAAAGGGAATTAGTGCAACCAGAAAGGCAGGTGCTCTTTTAGGGAAAAATCCAATAATGTCCTAAATGGAGGACTGGCTTAGAAATAAAAGGGACTCTGCTGCTCCAGAGAAAGAATGAGTGGGCTTAGAGATAGGAGAGATTGCACAGTGTTCTTCATTTTTAATTTGCATTGTTACAGTGTCTGGAAGCCCCAGGTGGAAATCAGGGCCCCATTGTGCTGGGAGTTGTGCACAAACATAATGATTCGATGTTGCCAGCTCTGCAGAGGTTGAAATATAATTCCTCATCCCTGCACCAGCACTAACCAGCATAATTGCTGCCAGATAAGTTTTTCTGCAGTTGCTCTTCTGGAATATCTGTGCCATTTGGTTTCTGTCAGAGTAACCATGCCTGAGGGATGAAAACCTGGTAACCTTCACAGCTCAGAGGCAGAATCTGCTCACCACATTTGCATACATGTTCAGCAATTATTTACTTGTACCTTGGTTTTCCTTTCTGTGAAATGGGAATAGCCACAGTGCACTCACAGCTCGCTCACGTCGTCTAACACCCATGATTGGTGCAAGAGTCCTCTGTTAGACCCTGACAACATCACATACGAGGGCTTTTTAGTGGTGTTTGTAGTGATAAGGAGATTGATTAGCTGGAGAATATATATTCTTTCTTGTGTGTTTTCTGTCTGAAAGGACCAGAGGCAGTGTTTGATTTGCTTAAGGTTCCTTTTCAACTAGTGTTTTTCTATTAGCTAGATAACTGTGTTAAAAACAAAATGCAATTAAACAAGGTGTTTAAAAAATAAACACTAAAGCAACCCAGCCCTCAATTGCCACAGCATAAATAGGAAGCAACACAGCAAACTGTCATTGAAGGAGTCTTCACACAATAGCCAAATACCTTTGGCTTTCTGTGACACTTCAGCTCACTGCTCAGGGGTCACAAAGCAGCAGAGTACATTGGCTGCTTTGTTGCAGCTTAAAATACAGTCATTTTCCAACCACAACAGATGCCAAGCACAGGAAATTATTCCCTGACCCTAAGAGCAAGATCAGAGCAAAAGAAGAGGATAGGAGTATGGTCCTGCTGGTCACCCACACCTCCCGCTGGGATTTGCACTGAAAGACCTCCGTGCAACAAGCTCAGCAGCAACACAGGACACTGCAGGGTGCAACCTTTCTCAGGGCAAATCATAAACCTGCCATTAATTCCATTTATCAGTGCTTTAGATACTGTGCACTATCCTGCATTCAGTAATTCTGTTTGAATTTCAGCAAACTGAAACAGAGCATCGACGCCAGCAAAGGCTCGCCCATGGGGCTGAGCAGAAGAGCCCTTCCTCCCTGCTCTCCCACCCCTGTGCCCCAGCTCCAGCCCCTCTGCCAAAAGGAGGGTCAGAAACTATTGCCACAGAAGGGACCGCTCTATGTTAAAACAGACACTTGCTCAGTTTTCCTCCAGACAGCTTTGGATCCGCATGGCACCCACCTGAAAGCCACGGTCTCTGGGACCCTGGCTTGGACGAGGAGCTGGTTTTGGTGAAAGAATGGGAATTACAGTGTCTCAGTCTGCTGGTTGCAGAAATGAATGAAAAGCAAAAGAAATGACCCCCACAGATTGTGCATTTTAGAAAACAAACAAGGAGATGAAAATAAACCCTCCCACGATTTTTAAAGCAATCTTGGGACTTCTAGGGATTCCAGCTCAGAGGTTTTGAATAGGAACTACAGGGGATCATTTACAAGTAGCATTTTTCTTAATTTCCTATTCTGCCTTTTAATACGTCGTAGGAAAGAGTAGGGGCTTTTCATTACAACCAGCTTGAAAGATTAAGCAGACGGAAACAACCCCCTGCTCTGCCTGCAGCCTTGCACTGGTTAAGCTATGACTGGAGACTGACCCAGGTTAAGTGGATGTGAAAGCTTACCTGAACACTCTCGCTCCTCTGCCTCCAATCTTTGGCAGCTGAGGTTTTCCCCCAGGCTTGTCTGTGTGAAATGGTCTTCCAGTCCCCTCTGCTGGTTACAGCTTGGAGAGCTGCACCATTAAACTAGGCAGCAACTGGGCAGTGCTTCATCTCCATGAGTGCTGCAGGAGCGCAGGGATGCCACCAGCCCCTGCCCTCAGTGCCCTCTAAGAAGGCACAGACTCCTCCAGAGGTCAGGGAGCTTATCCTCCCCTTCATCAATGCATCTTTAATATAAGCACCTGGGACCTGTCTTACACGTCATGAGAAAGGGTGAAACAGCCAAACGGATAATCTTAAAAGAAACCCTGCCTGTGAAAGCTGAGGCATTCTTCTGAGAGCAAACGGTCTCCCCCTGGGGAACGTAGGGCTTGAAATTCTTGTTGAGCTTATGACCAAGTATCATCTAGAACTGTCTGTGGCTTGTGCCATTGTGGCCTTACA